TCAGGGCCAACGGCTTTCTTGTTCTTTGCTAACTTCATAGCATGCAGTATTTCTGATTTTAGTATTTCTGGTCCTTCACCTTCAACTAAAGTCTTCGGCTCTTCGGGTCTATCATCATTATACAGTTCACTTATATAATTACACCAGGTTGTTCGAATTTCATGTTCGTCTATTATCATTTTTCCCGACAAATCGGTTATAGTATGTGGAGTTTTCTTATGATAAAGAGCAGCTACTTCTCTAACTTTTTTAAACATATTAAACGTATCATGTTTTTCATTCAACTTTTCTAATTCCTTGCATTTATCCTCCATCCATTTTTCTTTAACCACCTTTATTTTTTGTTTAATTAGTTTCTGTTTTTCCTTATATTCTGTCTTGTTACCTTTCAGTTTCCTTCTCTGCTCCATTAATTCCAGGATTTCATCAGTCATCTATTGTTGTTTTTTGTGCCTGTGTAACGTTGTTGAATATTTTTTCAAGGTAAGATCTTTAAATGTGTTCCATATTTCTGTGTTGTTTTCATTTATTGATTTCTTTAGCTCATTGTTTAAGTCATTTTCTATTAACGTTTTGTTGGATATTGAGATATTTAATTTTGGTGTTGTGGGGCTTTCTTGGACTTTTTTGAGCTTCACTTTGATGTCATTTATTACAGGGTTATGGTCTGAACCGATATCTGCACTAGGATATGTCGTTACTCTGGTGACGCCATTCTTAAATCTCTTGTTTATCAGAATATAGTCTATCTGATTTCTAATCATATGTAGTGAATTATCTCCTGGTCCCCTCCATGTGTATAACCTTCTTTTGTGTAATTACCACCAAATATAAATTTTAGATTTACCTTTTAAATCTACACTTGAGTGCAAAAAATTCGACTCAAAATTATTTTGCGAAACTACGTCTCCCCTCATTATTGAGTTTGAAAAAAGTTTTGATATTTGGTAAATCGGGGGACGTATTACAAATAAATAATGCAACACGTAGAGAGGGGGTCATAATTTGACCCATTGAAATCGACATGCACCCACTTAACACATTTGGTAAACATCGTAAGCATCAATTTTCATAGCAACCCATTAATACATAGCCAATCTGCTGTGTCCCGAGTGTATCGTCGGTACCAAGATGCTGGTGATTATGTCCGCCGACAAGGAGGAGATGAGCTGAGAAATCGACATGGAAGATTAAGTTCGTCACCGAGAAAGTAGACAGGGGCTGTTATAACCTACCTTTTACCTCTTTCGGTGGAAATTCCCATTTTGTAGACATACTCTTAAGCTGGATTTATAGTTTGACGGACTGTAGACGCAGACGCACTGGAAAAAGATCAACATAGACTTTTGTGTACTCTTATTTATAAATAAACGTAAGCGCAAGACAGGACGAAACGCACTGTAACGGAAGAGTTGGTCAACTTTCATCTTTTACAGTGCGTTACTTGCGTCTGACCAATCAAAAGGAAGAATTTTGTGCTGTCAACCAAAATGAACTGTCTGGCACGCCCACAATTTTGTAAAGTTGCTTATTAACATAGTCGAATTTTTATTTTGTTGATTATTTGTTACAATGGAGGTTAAGAATTTATAAAATAATAATAATAATAAATAATAAAATGATATTATAACATCCTGGTCACCAACTCTAGCCGCTGTTTCTACTCATGCGCAAAAATTCTACTCCGTCGATTTATAAATTGAAATTATATTTACAGTCCGTTTGTTACGTCTCCAGTGCGTCTACGTCTACAGTGCGTCAAACTATAAATACAGCTTTAGTGTCTCATACATTTATGAATAGATCAATTTACAGTTCTTTCGTAAGTTTTGTGGTGTGCGTTCATGGCTCGTGAATGAATGAGTCCAATATCGCTTGTATTTCTTATAACGCTCCTACCAAGCAAGCAAGATCCAGCTTTTAAATAGGGTGTATTGAGTTATCGAAAGTTTTTATAAAAGGCACTGTACTGATTCTTAGTTTATACTTTTGGCCCTCTGTCGCTCTTCTATTATTTGTATTGAGTTCATATTCCAACAGTAATGCCGGGTCCAGACCAAACAGACAAAACAAAAACATTCATGTTTCGCGACAAAGTGGCTACAAATCGAAAACATTTGTTGAGACATTTCTGAACAATTTTGTTTTGTTTGCAAATTTGAAAACTTTTTCAGGTCCCGTCTCAGGTCGGTAAAGATCAAAAAGTCTGTGTTTTGTCTGTGTATTTGACGACAAGTTGTCGGCGCAGTGTGGACGCGTGTGCGTGCCAAAACGAGTTAAGCAGTAGGAGAAATAGAATGTACAATTTTTATCAAAATTAACTGTATTTTTCTGTTACTTAGTCTCAACACAAATGTTCACTCAACTCCATCCAACTCCAACCCACAACATTTGTACTCAAATCCTTCCAGCATTGACACACGTTCATACTCAACTCCTCCCAGCATTGACACACATTCATACTCAAATCCACCCAGTGCTGACCCACAAAATTATTACTTAAATCCACCAAACACCAACACACAACCTTTATTTTCACATCCACCCAGTATTGACACAGAGCTTTCTCAGTATTCAGATCAAGAAAACGAACGAAATTGATGATGAACTTTTTGAATGTAAAAACAAGTAGACTTGTCATTATTTTGCATGTAGTATGTACCTATCGTCAACTTCTTTTGTATTAAACATTTAACCAATTTAACAATAAATATGGAGTTTATTTTAAGGGATATTAACAAAAAAATAGTAATGAAAAAAGTTTAACATACCTGTACATAACCACTAAGACTGTTAATTAAAGCTTTGATACTTTTGAAAGATACATTAGGCTGTGGTAGGAATCACCTGTTGCTAAAAATCTTAAAGGGATTGCTAACCGTTCTGTTACACTCATAGCATTTCTAAAGTTAGTATGTCTTTTTGCAACTGCAGGACCAACAAGGCATATTAGATTCTCAAAATCTTCGGTGAACATTCTTAAAAATTTTTTGAAGCTTGATCGAATTTCACCACTTAGTCCAATATTATCTGCTCGCAGCTGAACTAACAATTTGTCTATCGAACAACTTTCTCGCATTTTTAGGCTTGGTCTAATTCAAAAACGTTTGGGTTTTCTTTTAGCAACCTGGGATGATGATGAGAGCAAAAAAACTTGCGGCTAGCAATAAATCTTCAGTTTCATTTTTTTCTTGATTAAAACGCCACATGGTTAACCAACACTAATCACAACAAAAACGTCACCAACTGAATTTGTTTTTATATTTTGTTGTTCTGGTGTAGACAGTTTGTTTCAATTTTGTTTTGTCATTTGACGACAAATTTTGTCGCCGGTTTATCGTGTTTTTGTTTCAGAATTGTGTTTTCGTTTTGTCTGCTTGGTCTGGACTCGGCATAAGACACAGTGGAAGTGCTGAAAACTTCTTTTTTTCAATACTTCCACAAAATTTATAATTACTACAGCTAATTTCGGTAGATTTAAATTGGTCATTAAAATAATGATGGTCTAGAAACTTAAGTGCGTATGTAGAACCTTTTTTTTATTATTGAAGGCCTTTTTTAGTTCTGCTATACGATTGTTCAAATTTCTACCAGTTTGGCCGATGTAAGCTTTTGGACAGTCGCCACATTTAACTTTGTATACACCACTGTGAAGTGCTTTCTCTTTTGGCTCATGTTCTAAATATATTTGCCTGTTGTTGTTTGTTTTGAAAGTTGAGGTTATTCCTTTTCTTTTTATGTGTTTGGTTATTTTTGTTGATATCTTGCCTGTACATGTACTCGAGTAGAAGGTACTGGCTTTTTTCTCTAATGGTGGAAATATTAATTTCAGGGCTTTCTTATGTAGTATGTAGTTTTTGTTCATGTAGAACATTATTCTATACAAAATGACGGTATTATATTTTGATTTGATACAGAGCAGCAACAAGCCGCATATACGTATTTCGATCTCTTTAGATCTCCTCAGTACGGTATAGTTACTACTCCATATCAAACCAAAATATTTTCTCGTCGTAGATTATAGTTATTAAAAATAACTATTTACGGACGTAACTACGCCATCTAAGAACAAAAAGAGAAATCATACGATTTCTACCTGGCGAAATCGAATTCAAATATACGCCACCGTGCCCCCTAAGACTTGCGAAGCAAACAGCTTGATGAATGCATCGGCAAGGGAGTCTAAAAATTGCACTCCAAATGCCGTTCATAGTTACGTCCGTAAATAGTTATTTTTAATAACTATAATCTACGACGGAAAAATATTTTGGTTTGATATGGAGTAGTAACTATACCGTACTGAGGAGATCTAAAGAGATCGAAGTACGTATATGCGGCTTGTTGCTGCTCTGTATCGAATCAAAATATAATACCGTCATTTTGTTTTGTTTATTTACTTCATTTGGAGTACAAGAAATCGAATTCACTACGAATATAGGCCATGATGAACGGCATTTGGAGTGCAATTTTTAGACTCCCTTGCCGATGCATTCATCAAGCTGTTTGCTTCGCAAGTCTTAGGGGGCACGGCGGCTTATATTTGAATTCGATTTCGCCAGGTAGAAATCGTATGATTTCTCTTTTTGTTCTTAGATGGCGTAGTTACGTCCGTAAATAGTTATTTTTAATAACTATAATTTACGACGGGAAAATATTTTGGTTTGATATGGAGTAGTAACTATACCGTACTGAGGAGATCTAAAGAGATCGAAGTACGTATATGCGGCTTGTTGCTGCTCTGTATCAAATCAAAATATAATACCGTAATTTTGTTTTGTTTATTTACTTCATTTGGAGTACCAGAAATCGAATTCACTACGAATATAGGCCATGATGAACGGCATTTGGAGTGCAATTTTTAGACTCCCTTGCCGATGCATTCATCAAGCTGTTTGCTTCGCAAGTCTTAGGGGACACGGCGGCTTATATTTGAATTCGATTTCGCCAGGTAGAAATCGTATGATTTCTCTTTTTATTATTCTGTACCTTCAAAAATCGAATTTTTTTCTGTTGGATTTTTGCCACTTGACCACTTGGTTTGTTGAAACATTTGAAAAACTGTTATTTCTTTTAGGCCGGCTATTACTCCTCGATTTCTTAGTAGTCCTACTGATCTGTTACATGTCAGGTTTTCAAGAAATGTTGATCTTCGTTCATTAACAAGTAATATTTCTCCATTTGGTAGAGGTTGAGTATTGGGATAAATTGTTAAGTCCAGAGTAAAATAAGTAGTATAGAGGATACATTAAAAGAAGTAATAATGGTAATAAACCAACACTCACATATAAGATAAATTTATTACACCAACAGACCACATTAAATAACGAAAATAAAATTAATAACAAAAGTACAATTTAGAAAAACTTATAAAATAAAAGGAATGATGGCTTTTCTTTGTTTTGGATAGTCTGGGAATTCTTTTTTGTAATTCTTGTGTTTTCCTAATGCCCATAATGTCATTTGGTAGAAGCCAGCAGCGGTAAAGAGACCAGCTAAAAATAAATATAAATATTTAGTGAAGTTGTAAATGATGGGGAACTTTAAAAACCCCTCGTTGCATATGCGCCAATCAAATTTCCAAAAAGTACTAATAGTCACCAAAAATATAGTGGATTCAAATTAAAATGAGTTACATTTACTTTGTAATTTGATATAAGGTTGAATGCTCGAATAAATGAACTTTGATAATACAGTAAAACCTCCATTAAGCGAAATAATTGGGGGGAAGCCGTTTCGGATAACAAGAATTTCGGTTTAAAAATCAGTTTTTTATAGTATATTTGGTCAAAGTATTAGTATTAAAAAATACTCTTAGGTGATTTCGTAATGTTTTCTTATAAGTAAATACAGAATAAAATAATAAAATAAAAGAAAATAAACAAGTTTAACATGCTTTTTTTACATATTTTCTTTTGCGTTTTCATTCGACAATAATGTTTTGAAGCTATATCTCTCCATCGTTCATTTGCAGAACGCCATAGTTTGCCCCATTTGATTGTTGGACGAAACGTAAAGCAATCTAAAAAGGAAAAAACTTTATGCAACGACAACAAAAATTAAGAACCTAGAAATATCTCTAAGGCATTGAAAATCTCGTCGCGGTCTCGTGCTGCCTGTTGTCTGGCAGTTGGGTCGTCATCTGATGTTGTCTGGATGAAGAACGATATAGCACATATACCAATAAACAACATACAATAAACAATCTTCCTGTCTTTTGTTTTCTTTTTCTTTTTTTTTTCTCCTGAAGAAGCTACATACAATTGTAGCGAAACGTCGAGATGAACCCACTTTTGGGTCACTCACAAATGACACGGTCCAAACCCGGAAGACGAATAAACTATAATAAACAACATGTTTCATTGTTAAACATTTGTGAATTTCGGGAACACTTTTGGATTCATTCATCTCCTGTAATAACAGATGTCTTAAGAATGCTCCTCTATAATGTCTCTTGAATGTTTCTATTACTCCCTGGTCCAACGGCTGAATTAATCTCGTGACATTTGGTGGCAAAAATCTGACAATTGTCACCATTTTGTAGATTTTGAAGGTGAGTTGGCGCATTGTCAACAAGCAACAATGCTTTGATTAAAAGATTTTTTGATTTTAAAAAGGATTTTACACTTGGGACGAACTTTCATGCTTAAGTAACTTTGAACGGCCTTGTTTTTGAAATGTATTACATTCCTGACAAATAGATCCTATGCATATGCTAGAAAAGTAATAAAAGACTTGATTTAGATTATATTTGTGACAAAGCATCCAAACAAAGGGAAGGTTATTCTATGACTTATTTCAATTAAGATTTTTCATCGATAGCCCTTTGTCAAACGAGTTAATTTTTCATGGTAAAGATATTTAAAATAACATAAATAAAACAAAATAAATTATGGTATTATTAGTAACAGAAAATTCAATATGAAATTTTGAAACAATATTGTTTGAATAATATATACTTACCAGGAATGCATGAGGTTAGAATTGTAAAACCAATCCATGAACCAACTTCGTAACTGTAATTGGGACAAGAAACAAAGTCGAATAGTATATTTAATGGACATCCGTCAGGACGAGGGATTTTTCTAACAGTACTTCCAGCAGGCCTGAGATTTCTTAAAAGTAAATGAGTTGCTAGATTTCCTGATTCACAAACCTAAAAAATATAGTATAGTATAGTACAAACAACAGTTTAGAAAGGTACTCCTAAATCTATGTACCGTATGGTAAATATATTTTAAAAAATTAATGAGTTAATGCATAACTGCATGGCTTTAAGGTAGAATACTAAAGCACACAAACCAATTTACTTGCCAACCGATTGAAATAGACTGACGATTTACTTGACATTTTTATCTATAAAGTAATACCAAAAGATTACCTGCACATAGAATCTAATGAAGACCTATCGTCAGATCATTCACCAATCATTGCTGCAATAATAGCAAATCCATCAGAAAAATGTCCACCTCCAAGACTAACAAATAAAACAACAGACTGGAATATTTTCAAAGAAATCCTACAAGAAACAATTGACCTAAAAATCCCACTAAAACAACTACAAGAAATAGAATTAGCAATAGAAACATTAACAAAACAGATACACGAAGCTGCATTGGAATCTACAAAACATAACTTTGAACGGAAACGTCTCCATAACAATTGTCCGACAATAATAAGAACAAAAATATTAAAAAAACGAAAACATCGTTAAAAATAGCATCAAACTTGTTCACCTCAAAACAAAACCAAATTGAACAGAATATGTAGTAGTACTTTCAAACCCATGTCAATTCAATTAAAACCATTTGTATAAACCCATGCTGCATTGGTTTGTACAAATTGTAATCGTCTACTTTTGTGACGTGTTAAGTCTTGGAATTTTGGGAGGACGTGACGTTTTAACCAATTCCTTCAGTCTTCTGATTACTATTTTTGTACTTAAAATAACTTGTCTTGTCATCAGCAATTGCTTTTTCATCTCCGGAGTTCCTCAAACTGAATTCTCAAATATTGCTCATCTTTAGGTGTACTTCTTTTTTGTCCATCGCCATGAATTCTTTGTATTCTCCAGTTATGTTATTCTCTTTTTATTCTAAACAGTATATGAGGGGTAGCTGACAACAAATCCTTGAAGAATACAGCTAATTTTGCTTAAGTCGACTTTACCCTACATAATTTATTATGTGATTGGTCATGGAGTGAAATTTACATGTTTACACTGTGAGATTTATCATATGATTTTGTCATTTTCGGTAATAATACCGGTAACAGCAACATATTGAAATATCGCGCCTTATTCTTATGTAAATTCAGTGAAATTTCCTTCCCGAGAGACAACATTCTTTATTTATTTATTTTTTGTTTGTTGCTTTGATATTGAGCCTATTGTCTAATCTAATCTGTGCTATTGTGTCGTATTTTTCATTTATTATTGATTTAGTTTATGTTACTCTTAGTTTATTATTTTATAGTCTTATTAGTCGCAGTTTTAGTTTAGTTTCTTTATTAATTATTTCTAATTTAGTATAATTTAATATAAACACTAAATTTGATATATCCCGTCCATTATCTCTTCGTGAGAGCCACCTGCGAGCCCAAAGGCGTCTGACCTTTTTCTTCTTACTAATAGCTGTACGCAGTTGATGCCTGCAAGCGATGCAAGCAAAGATTCATTTTCCATTATAATAGTTTATAAATCTAATAGTTGGTACCTATACTGTGTCTAATATATATATATATATATATATATATATATTATATATATATATATATATATATATATATATATATATATATATATATACGAAATAACAAGAAGTCGAGAGACCTCTCTGATAGCAAATTAGGTGAACCGCAAATTCAAAGCCTCTAGCTAGAGGCTTTTAACGACGCTAGAAGTACATTTTTACTTCGACATGCATCTACGATTCACCTTTGAAAATTACCATCTTTTTTCGCTCTTTACGTAGAGAAAGGCGTTTAAATGAAAGTAAAAGATTGCATTTCATTGCACTCCGATTGAAATGAAATGCAATCTTTTACTTTCATATATATATATATATATATATATATATATATATATATATATATTATATATATATATATATATATAGTTTGAGTTTAGTTCTTGAACCTTAATATATATTTTTTAGTGGATTCTCTTGGGCTTAGGTTCATAAAAAAAAATTTAGTTTGATACTAAGACATTTTTATATATATTTTTTCCGACGTTTCGGCAGGAAATCCATGCCTTTTTCAAGAATATATATTGACTAAAAAAAAAAAACATTCTATGACAGACATAATATGGTTTAAAAAATAAACTTTTGACTTACCAAGCATGTAAAGATTTGGTGTTAACAATTAGACGTCACAATTAAAATAATTTTAAAACATAGGACATACCCACTAAGTCACTAAAAGTAAAATGTATTTTAAATCTAATGTGTTGTTTATTGATGTTAGCTTATCGTTTAAACAATCAGTGGATTTCCTGCCGAAACGTCGGAAAAAATATATATAAAAATGTCTTAGTATCAAACTAAATTTTTTTTTTTATGAACCTAAGCCCAAGAGAATCCACTAAAAAATATATATATATATATATATATATATATATATATATATTATATATATATATATATATATATATATGTATATATATATATATGTATATATATATATATATATATATATATATATGTATATATATATATATGTATATATATATATATATATATATATATATATATATATATATATATATATATTTTCAATATTGGGTTTGCAGCAATAAAAATGATACGTGTACTCTTTTAAATTTTTATTCCGAGCTTTCGGATATGGTTATGTCCTTCATCAGGGAGCTACAAATGTGACGAATAGTTTGTTACAAGTTTGTATAATTAATTAAAGATTCGCTACTTACAAACTTAATGAGGTTGGATCATCAATGATTTTCTACCATGTCGATAAAACTTATCACAGTCTGTCATATTTTTACATAAAACTTATTCCTATATTTAAAATTTTTAAAAATTACTTTACAATCACAAACACTTACTTATTATACACACATTTCTGACATTTTTATTCTTAATTTTATTATATCGTCATTAGTTTTTTCTCAAGACAATTCAGTGGTTTTTATTATTAGATACTAGTACCAAATTATAGGCCTATCATTAGATGTATTGTGGCTATATAAATTATTTTATATTTATTAATATCATAAAGAAGTGAAACTTTAACTTGTCAATGTTTCAACACAAAATTTATTAAATTAACCTAAAGAAATAAGGTCATAATTCTAAAAATATTACAATTGAATATGATATTGTTTTGTATGACCCCAGTATCTGTGTGTATACAAAAATTACTAAATTTAAAAACAATTAAAAAAAGAAGAAGAGAAAACTTTTATTTAATTTATTAAAAGTCAATTGATAAATTACTGTTTGTGTTATTGTTGCATTTATCTAGTAGTAACAAATAGGAGAACAATCTAAGTCATCTAAATGAATTGTTCTCCTATTTGTTACTACTAGATAAATGCAACAATAACACAAACAGTAATTTATCAATTGACTTTTAATAAATTAAATAAAAGTTTTCTCTTCTTCTTTTTTTAATTGTTTTTAAATTTAGTAATTTTTGTATACACACAGATACTGGGGTCATACAAAACAATATCATATTCAATTGTAATATTTTTAGAATTATGACCTTATTTCTTTAGGTTAATTTAATAAATTTTGTGTTGAAACATTGACAAGTTAAAGTTTCACTTCTTTATGATATTAATAAATATAAAATAATTTATATAGCCACAATACATCTAATGATAGGTCTATAATTTGGCACTAGTATCTAATAATAAAAACCACTGAATTGTCTTGAGAAAAAACTAATGACGATATAATAAAATTAAGAATAAAAATGTCAGAAATGTGTGTATAATAAGTAAGTGTTTGTGATTGTAAAGTAATTTTTAAAAATTTTAAATATAGGAATAAGTTTTATGTAAAAATATGACAGACTGTGATAAGTTTTATCGACATGGTAGAAAATCATTGATGATCCAACCTCATTAAGTTTGTAAGTAGCGAATCTTTAATTAATTATACAAACTTGTAACAAACTATTCATCACATTTGTAGCTCCCTGATGAAGGACATAACCATGTCCGAAAGCTCGGAATAAAAATTTAAAAGAGTACACGTATCATTTTTATTGCTGCAAACCCAATATTGAAAATTTACTTCCTTGTTGTCAGCAAATACTTCTAGTTCATTATATATATATATATATATATATATATATATATATATATATATATATATATATATGACCATAAACAACAAGAAAAATCAACAAAACCACATTGTCACTCACAACACACATCATAAGTCACAACTTATCATTCAGTGTAAACATGATTTTTTAAAACATCATAGAACCGAGGAATCATAACCAATCTCATATGATAAATCATGTAGTGTAAAGTCTAGTTCAGGTTTTTTCAACTATTAAAAAAAATAAAAAAATCATTTTTCGCCTATAAAACGATTTTTATGCATTTTAGAGAAATAAATTAAAAGTCACAGCTTTTAAAAAGTTCTTTAGTTTTGCTAAAAGCTATGCTGAAACAATTATGATCGGAAATCGAATATGCATCGGAAATCAAACAAAGATTTTGTATGTTGTAATATACTGATAAAGAGCTAAAGAGTCTAACAGCCATACCCATTTGTGTTAATAAATAAAATAGTATATATAGATTAAAATTTGTTAGCAAAACGTTAGCTTTGCTAACAATAAAAAAATCAGCTCTACTTCTTCAAAAATTTGTCATAAACTATACGTTTTAAAACTTTCAAAGAACTGTATAAGACTTTGAATTAAAATCGGTGATTTTTTCTAATATCTGAAGAACGTCTTCGTGAGTTTCCCCTCCACTACATGGGGGATAAATATGTTTCCAATTCACTAATTTAAGTCACCTTGTATAATCAAACATTAAAATCTAAAAAATATATTTTTAAATATATTACAAGAAATGAGATAAAGAAATTACTCAAGGTCGCAGTATACCTTCCGGTAGTATGATTCTGATAAGAAAAAATTTATAGATATTTAACAATTATTAATTCT